AGTTTGTTGCTATCGTTTCCAGTTTTGTTGTTTATATTCTTCTTCATGCTCTCTCTCTTACACTTTGTTTCGTTTGCTTCTCAATATGCCTTCTTGACAGCACTGCCATTATATTAAAAATTATGCTCTTTTGTGTTTTGTTGTGATTGCCAATTTCGTTTATGTCCACAAACGGCAATGCCAGCTATAAGAATTTTGAATAAAAATTTAAAATAAAATTAAAAATAATAAAATTTCTTTTATATCAAAAGGCTCTCTCTTAAAACATAGTTTTTATATAGAAATTAAATTTAATATTAAATTTTACTTTTTAATTATGTATTTCACTGAAATTCCGTTGATTATAAATTAACGCGTTAATTCAGAAAAACTTTAGATATTTAGTTTTAACCATCTTCGTGTTATAAAGTTATGGACACATACATATGTATATACAAAGGCCGTGTGCGAGTACTAGTAAATTGATGGGATTTTCAAGGATATAGTAAATTATGTCGGTATGGTAGGGAATGTTGGTATTTACCGAAATTGCAAGTAGGGTAATTTAGATAAAAATTAGGCAACCAAGGTGTTACCATTGTGAAAATTTTATAAAATGTTTCATAAATAAATTTAAAAACTTTTAACCACAAATAATATATAAGTAGATTAAATAAATATTTACATTAGTGCAGTGCAAAAAGTCCTTAGGAAATTTTAATTTACTTTACTTCAATATATTCCAACTTACAAACGGTCAAAGCTTCACAATAATGTGATATTAACCGTAATTTTTTCTTTTAGAGTAGCAAAAAAAATACTCGCAACTTACGAAAGCAAATATGTGAAGCAACAACAATGCTCGTAAACTTTTCAGTGTTAATTTTTACTCGCAAGAATTGCTTATATGTTGTAAAATTCCAGTCATTCGTTAAAATCATGAGCATTTCATTTACTAATAAGATCAAATACATAAATAAATATTTTAATATAACGCCGTGTGCACAGGGTCTAATTATAAGAGAATAATGTAAACCATTACCTTTCTAATACTCAGTCTGTTTTATTTTATTTAAATTAATTAATTTTCAGTGTTTAGAATTTTTATATTTCATATTGTACATAAACAATGAAAAACATATGTTAAAAAAGAATTTAACATATTTCAAAAGTGATGCCAATTTTTGCAACCAGACTTAATGCTGTTTTTTCACAACTCAAAGAAGAAATTATGACTATTATACAACTTAACAATTATAAATAAGTTCACTAAACTTTTGCTCTTAGTGTAGTTAGAACTTGAGATTCTATAGCAATGGTATTTCTAACCATAAATTATTACTTCAATAAACACAAAACAATTAAGTATTCAGACGTGCTTGGTATTTCGTATTTTAAACTACATAATTGACATAAAATAGTAAATTGAAATCAGCTGCTTTATAATTCATTTGCTTTATATTACCTAGAAGCAAGAAAATTAAATAAAAACCCTTAATGTTCGTTCCTTAATTTAACTTTTTTTATTAATTATTTGATGTTCTTTTTAAATTAAATTAAAAATTATGAAACATTTCACTATAGGTCTGTTCCACGAGCTACTCGTAGTAACTTTGAGTAACACTAGGTCTGTTCCACGAGCTACTCATAGTAAAACATGAGTAAAACAGAAGTAAAATTTACACAAAACTACTTGAAAATTTGCTGGTGGAACGCGCTTGTGTATACACAGTGTTTACTCAAAGTTACTATGAGTAGCTCGTGGAACAGACCTACTGTGTATACCCAAGTGCGTTCCACCAGAAAAATTTTCGAGTAAATAAAAACATCTGACAGAGCGTAACATCCCTGTCAAAATTTGAAAATGCTACACAGACTTTACTCGTACATTTTATTTAAAGTAAAAGTTTTATTGATATGTGAATCAGCTGTTTTGGTTTGATTTAAAAGTTTGGTATTCTCGCCAGACTTTACACAAAACTGTTCCATGAAAATCTGTGTAAAGAGCGTAATTAGGCATTTTTTTGTGCTACGCTTTCAGTATGTACTTTACTTAAGTTTTTTTGAGTTTTATCACGAGTAACTCATTTAACAGACCTAAGATATTTAATAATTTCACTTTCTGTAGTTGGATTATATCAAAGCCCAATATATTATATTGCATACAATTTTTTAACATAAATTTTCATTAATTTGAATTCATAATATTCTTAGCCTTTTTTGATAATTATTATTCCTTTTTGGTTTTGTCCAAATTTCACTGTTCTGTAATTATGTTATTGTAGCATAAATACGTGCAATAAAACCTAATGTAGATGCGCGTATACACTGACCAGACCTTGGCAAGTTTTTTATGTTTGAATGCAAATATATATTGTTTTGGAATTTGGGCTACGAACAAAAATTTGTATATGTTAATGAAAAAGTCAAAGTGTCTGCCAAAATCTTGCAAAAGTTAGTCTATGTAAGTGCTTAATGACTGAAATGTAAGCACAGTATACGACAATGTCAATTTCACGCCCTTTGGTCGTACAACTTCTGCGTTGAAATGTGAAAAGCTAAGTCTCATGTGTAAAAGCTATATTTGGAGGTCTGACGACAAGTTGAACGGAAATCAAAACATTTTGATTTTTCGTCAAAGTTTTTCCGTACACAATCGGATTTTTGTTGGCTTATATGGCATTTCAACTGGCCTCAAACCACTGATTTGGGTCAAAAATCACAAATGAAAACCAAGTGACCAATTTCTGTATACAAAATTTCATATGCGCAAATGACTTCTATTTGCTGATTTTGTACAAATGAGTTCCTACCTCCTCACAATTGTTTTCAATTTCAGCTTTAATATATTTGTTATCTTAGTACTAAGCTTTCTGTATTTTAATGCCTATCCTTCCCTTGATCCCTTGATAACTTTACGGGCCAGTAGCTGGAATTCGTTCCTTTTGCTATAATTTCTATAATAAATGGTTTTAGTGGGTTCAAGTCTCACACTGTAGCTTTCGATGCTTTCCACCTACCGGATATATATATATAGATATATATATATAGATATTTATTATATATATAGATATTTTCTAAAAAAGATGTAAATATAGATATATGAAACTCGTTTTAAATTGAAACTTATATGACACAATTTAACGTATATATCAAGATATTTATAAAGTTATTTAATTATTGTTAATAAGCAAAGAGCTTTTATTAGAATTAATTCGAATTATTATTAATAGTATTAATAGTAGCCGAAATTTTTTCTTTCAGAGTTGTAAAAAAACAGCATTAAGTCTGGTTGAAGCAAATTGTTATCACTTTTAATATATATTCAATGATTTTTTAACATATGTTTTTTGTTAAAGTTTATTAATTTAAATAAAAGAAAATAAAATAAATATTAAAAGCATAATGGTTAGCATTTTTGTTTTATATATTTAAATATAAATACTTATTTATATATACTTATTTATGTATTTGAATTTATTACTAAATGAGTTGCCTAAACGAGTTTTACGGTTGACTGGAATTTTATAACATATTTCCAGTAATCATTCACAATATATTGATTTTTGAGTTTGGCTGCACTTAAACTTACGTCATAAAATTTTTTGCGAGTGAAACATAACTCTGAAGATTTTACATTGTTGTTGCATCACGATTTCTTTAGTAAGTTGCGAGTATTTTTTTTGCTTATCTGAAAGAAAAAATTACGGCTAATGTTTTATTAATAATAGGCCTTTTCGGTGGCTCGCAAGTATGACAAAAAATGCATGCTGGCTTATATTGGCCTAATGTAAGCAAATCACATTTTGTATAAAAATGAAAAATTAAGATAGATTGAAAATTAAAATAAATACAACATTAAGAGGAATTGGGAAAATGTTGAAAATTTCAAAATAAAACACTGAAATATTTCTTTGTTTCCAATTTTCAAATTTTTGAATTCTGTTTGAATTCTTATTTACATATAATTTTTGAGATTTTATAAAAGTTGATTCTTTAAAAGAACAATTTTCTAAAATATAATTTTTAAAAGAAGGGTTTTGAAATTTACTTTTATTACAAATAAAATTTTTTATTTTATAATTTTCTAATTTTATATGTATTAAGATATTATCTAAATTAATTATAGCACTATCTGACTTTTCGCCATTTTGCTTAAATGCTAGCACTTAATCATGCAATATTCTTTGGAATTTCCAATAAAGATTCACAATAGTTCACTTATTGCGTTGGTACATTTTTTTCTTTACCGACCGAAGTGTTTGGCGAGTAAACAACTATTGGCCTAGCTAGAGAAAATTGTGTTGTTGTTTTGCGAACATTTCAGCCAGTATAAGACAGTAATAGCTGTTTATTGCCATATTTGCGAGCCACCGAAAAGGCCTAATAATAATTGTTATTTTAATAATGATGTTAATTGATATACACTTTTTTATATTCTATAATTTATAAATGTTTTTTTATATGTCATACATTTTATATTTTTTCTGTACTTTATATAGAAGTTTCATATTATTATTTTTAAATATAATCTCTTATATTAATATAGAGTGTTAATATTATACAATGGTTTCTTTTTGTTTGCTTCTTTTTTACAACCACAAAATTAAATATCTGTAGTCTTAAAACAATTTTTAATTACATTATTCATAATATATAAGAGTTTGAATTGAAGTCTGATTTCATCCATGAAAAATTCACAATATGCTAGTTTCAATATTAAAACCTATTATATTTGGAATAACATTTAACGTAATATGCAAATTTTTTATATTATTATTCACTCTCCATAAGAAAAATTTAACGTACAATATATGAATACATTATTTATATAGTATTCAGTACTCGCAATACAGTATTAATTTCTATACATACAAACATGAAACAAACATTCATATTCATTTGTATATATAATGCATAATTTGAATTGGCAATGCTTTTCGTTTTCAATAGTCAATATTTTGACATTTCTGTCAAAATTAACACTTTTTTTGTATTTACATTTTCCATCACTGGTAAATGTCAACTTTAATTCAGTAATTTGTTGCATAGCGTCGCGAGTGGGAAAAACTTTGTAAAATAAGAAAGTTAGTTTAGTGTTTAATAATTTATTTTTTGAAGTGAAAATATAAAAAATGTCGCAAAAAGTGGAATTAGTGCACGATAAAATTCCAATACTCTGTCGGTCGGTTCGAAAGTTTCCTGTCGTATACGATCGCGGACATAAAGATTATCATAATAGAGCCCTGTATGAGGAGGCTTGGGCAGCAATAGCAATTGAATGCGAAGACACAGGTATGCCTTATGCATTAATATTTTAGCGTTAATTATGATTTTAAATGCATTCAATATTGTGCAATAAGTGCATGTCGCCATTAATTAAAAACCTTGACGAAAAAAAAAATATGTTTTACATGGATTCAGGAGTCACCTTTGGCAAAATGGCTGTCGTGTATGTTCAAGACAGGGTGTTTTCAAGAAATGAAAAATATTTATTGTAAATGTTGAAATGGGAAAAGTTTACGACACAGCAGCATTGAGTAAACATACACCGCCAAAAATAATTTTTTTCTGTTGTTTTTAAAATGTGGAAATCGTTTAAGTGTAAAGTATAAATATAAAGTAAGAAAAAAAAAAAACAAAAATTTATGAGTTTTGAAGAGATTTCCAAGATTTAGTTTCTTATTATTAAATCCAATACATTTATTTGAGGTACTAGATGTGATTAAATCGTTCACTTTTATTTAAAGTACTAGATTAGATCAATGTAGTATGTTTATATCTAAGGTGCTAAAGTAGATTAAGCTAGTACATTTATGTAAAGTAGTTGGTTAGATAGATATATTTTTATGAACTACTGGATTAGATTAATCTAGTACGTTTTTATAAGACAATAGGTTAGATTAAAACTTTTTGTAAGGTACTAGATTTAATAAATGTGAATGTATCATTGTGTTATTTAAAATTTAATTTAGGTAAGGCCCATGTTATGTAGAGTGTCGAAATTGACTTTTTCGTGATATGACGAAAAGCTTGTTATGTAGAGTGTCACATCAGTCGATTTCGTATTTTTACTATTACTTTTATACTTTTTGCTTGTGCTTAAGGTTTTAAGCAAATATATACATACATACAACACGGTTTTGACTGACGGATGAGGCACAAATAGCTTCGGCTCTCTTGACCGAAATTAAACCGATATTTTGGGTCTTAGAAATAATGTGTTATTTATGCACAACAGTTAATTTTTGATTAATTTTTGTAAAGCTATATTTGAATATTGCTTGATTCCCGATTTATTTCGATTTAAAGTTGTAAATATTTCACATGCAAAACACAAACATCATAAAAAAAATATCTTAAGCTTTTTTAAGCTTCTTAAGCTTTTTTTTTGAATATATATATAGTTTATTAGAATATCTTCGATAAATAGTTGTGTTTATTAAAAATTAAAAAAAACTAAAGTACTTTAAAAAAGTATTAGCACAGCCAGCGTTTCGAAAGTTATATGTGAGACAGTGTGAAATCTGAAGAATATGCTAAATTGTATTCTATAAATCGAATTTTTGTTTAAAGTATGAATCCATTTTGGTGTTAAGGGAAGTCCCTTTTTCCAAACCAAATGTTTAATTTTTTCTTTCATATGTTGCTTCTTTTTACAAATGTCAGTCGCTGACTGACATCCCTAATTTCTGAATATAAGTATTACTTTATTATAAATAAATATCTTAAAATATAATTCTAATTTCATTTAAAAACAAAAAAAAAATAAATAAATAAAAAAATTCACTAATTCGAAGTCTCCATAAGTCGAACTATACTTCTTAAGAAACTTTCTGGCTTAATAATGTTATATACTTTTGACACTAATAACTTTATATTTTTTACGGAAGGTAGGTGCATTCGTCTTCTTTATTTGCGTCTCAAAGCAGCTACAAACTGAAATTTAAGTCAAACATGTCAATAATGAGAATTATCAGAAAAACTCTCCCAAAATTAAATAAAAACTATTGAGAAACATTCAATCGATTGTACTTCTTTTATGTTCTTGATCATTTATATTGCAGGTTTTACTTGTGAGATTATTTCGTATTAAATGTTATATTTTTTTTATTTCAGTTTCATTTATTAATATAAATAAACTTATCCTTCATCTAAGTTCGTGCTTCACTACATATCTGATATATTGTTCTGAAACCCTTTCGAACCACTTCTAAACCGAGTTTATATATGCGTTTTACATGTACGTAGCTAATTATAGTAACAACGAAGATTTCCATTTAATGTAAGGCTTACAATATTTGTAGTTTTGTCATCGGATGCGTAAATTAGCAATATATAATTGAACGTATAGAAATAATAGGGATTTTTCCAGTCCAGTACATTTATTTTTCCATTCCATTTTAATTATTGAATAGATCATCTTAATATAAATATCTAACCGCTTCAACTAAATAGGGGAAATCAACTGATATCATTTGCTTCCACGTGTTTACGATTTTTGACCAAACGATTAAGTTTCCTTCTACGAATGTCGGACGTGATATTACGTCCAGGTTGTTGAAAATCAACTGAAAGCAAAATTGGTGCGTAACTGAATAATTTATAAGTAGACCTGTAAGCAGATAACATGAAAAATTATACAAAATGATTACATGGGTGGGCATGTGGTTCGGGGTGATGGAGAGAGGAATGAGGATAATGGGTGGATTGGGATTCTCGAACATATACAAGGGTTCAGATGGAAAAACCTATCCAATTCAATGGGATTGGAGCAAAAAACAATTGGACGGAGGTTTGTGTGCGTTGTAGTATAGGAGAACAGATAGACGACGTCATGGGGAGCAGAGAGAGTTGCAGGTTTGGCACATATTAGGCATTTCCAAAATTAATCTTTATGTACTTATTTTATTTAGAATCAGTGATCTTAAAATGTTTTTCCAGTTAAAGGGCTATGTTGTTAAATATTAATATGGTTAATGATCTCTCCTTTACAGATAATAAGCGGATGTTGCAGAGAAAACGAGTGAATATTGTAGCGACGATGAATATCATTTATAGTTTGTAAACTATTTATGATTTCACAAATAACTTTAATATTTTACTGTTCAAATTGATCTCCAATAATAGCAATATTCATTTCATTAATTTCCGTTAACCTTTCTTTAGTTGGCGTATTAAATCGTCCAAGGTATAGTCCAGCTGGATTATCGTTTTTATCGTTTTTGTCGTATTATCGTTTATACTTATCGTTTTGCATTCTTTCTGAAGCGTAGTTGCAAGTCTAAATTAGTCGATTTTTTGAATTCAATATAGTTTCTTAAGATGCAACAATGATCTTTTCTACTCGTATAATGTTTTCAAGTCTATTTTAATGGCAAAAAACATTAACTTGCTGTTTTTCGTGTCCCTTGAAATAAATTTGCAAGAACTTTCGATTTCGATTAAATGTCATTGAATTCTGAAAGTACTATTGAAATCGCGATTGCCATTATTTTGATAGATTTTTGTTGCACAAAATGATGTCATTTGAAAGCCAGAATTAAAATTTTTTTATTTTTCTTAAAAATATTATTGAGTCCGCACATACGCTGATTAACTATTTAACCTACTAAAGTTGTTGGTGTTGTACATGTGTTTATTATTTTTGAACTCTCATACAACCTTGTCAAAGAAGCCAAAAAAAGTCTCTTTTTTGCTCACCCACATTGAAGTAATTGTGTTCCTCAATTTTTCCAAGTTGCATTCACATTTCTGATTGCAGCTGCTCTAAGTGCAAATATATTCTGCTAAAAAAGATTTTGTAAATAAAACACAAATTTAAACTTTATTTCAAATTTATTTTATCTCCTTCAAAATATGCTACTTCTGAAGCTATACACATATGCCAATGCTTAACCAAATTTTCCATACACTTTTCGTAGACCCATGCAGGTATGGCTTTTAGTTCCTTCAGCGAATCCTCTTTTACTGATTCAATCGACTCAAAACGGTCACCACGAAGGGGCAATTTGAGTTTCGGGAACAGGAACAAGTCGCACGGATCCAGATCTGGCGAATATAGTACCTGAGCGAACACAGTGGTGCTGTGTTTGGTCAAAAAATCGCGTACAACAAGAATTTGCCATAGTAAAAATTGATAAATTCACTTGAAGTAGTTTCACATTAACAGCTGCTGTAAACAAACTAATTGACAGATGACGCTCAAATTTATACCATATGTCAAGAAAGGGTGTACCAACATAACGAAAAAAATTTTTGAAAAAGGTATATTACTTAAGGAGTAGTTAACAAATAACAAAATCCGGATACTTTTTGTGCAGAAGGTATGTGAATGCATACTTAAGTCTTCTTTCGTAAGAAATCTTGAATTTGTAGTGTGAATTGGGTATTAACTCGGCGCGAACGTAAGGTTTCTTACGAGACAAGATATACCCAACATATTAAATTTTTTTTAAGATTGTGGCAAGTTCAGAAGGAGGTTGTTATTTTCTGTCCGTCAAGAATTTCTGTCCAAATTGCGTAGATTACTTTCGACTTTCAAACGATTAATCACGCTTCGAACAGTAAAAAGGAATTTGTTGAATATTTTTTTAATTTATGCAAATGCTGATTCAAAATCATTTTGTGTTCAGACCATTTAACAAATGGATTTATTTTAAAATTTTAAATCAGGATTAATAGGTACTTCTGCTCTACTATCATTCAGAAACAAGGCTTGTGCAAATATTTTTTTCTTTCACAAATAAGAGTAATACAGTTTTGAATAAATTTTAAATAATTAAAATAATTGTTAAGTAAAATTAAAAGAGTTTGTTTATATGTACAGATATTTCGTTCTTCTTCGTTTAGCCTATTTATATTTTCCTTTATATATTTTCATTTTATTTATATTATATGTCGAATTTCGTAAATATTGTTATTTTTATTATTTCAGTCAATATATGTAAAAATCGGTGGAAATCAATTCGGGATAGTTGTAGGAGGTCTATTCGAAACGATCGTTCGCCTAAGAAACGAACTTCGACTCGTATGAAGGATAATTATGTAGCTGATCTTGCTGAATTTTTAGTTCCTCATTTACAAATGAATGATGAAAACGATGATATGGAACGGTTTGGTAATGAAGATCCAACAAACAAGGAAAAAGATGCTAAGAAAACTAAATTTAATTCCTCGAAAACAATTGATCCATCAACTATAGGCAAAGAGCCTTCATTTACAAATGAGGATCATTCACATGATACATATATGATATCTAAAAAATCTACTAAAGAGAGTAGTACCCTAGTATTGAAAAAGACATCTGATATAAAAAAAATATTAGATATCGACAAAGACGACGATGATATGGAACATGAAAAAAGTAATGATGCTAATAAAGATAAAGATAATGATATTGATGGTAATAATGATATTGATGATGATATACCACGCAGTTCTTATCGACGCAGTTGCAAAAAAAATTTAGATAAAAACGATACAAAAAAATCTAAAGTAACTCCAAAAACAGTAACAAAAAGATCATATCGTAAGATAAACCCAAATACAAAAACTAATGTAGATCTTCAGGTTTCAGATACAGAAAACGAAGAAATACCACCGGCTAAGTTTGCAAAAGTTCAAACTGAAATAATTTCTGAAAAGCAAACAGGTAATGAAAGTCCTTCAGTACCACCAGCAGCAAAAAAAATTCTTGTCGTGAATACGAATACTACTATAAAACCTGTAATGTGTGAGAAATCGGTACAATTTGATACGAATAGATCAGTGGAAGATAAATATTTTGATATATTCAAACCTTATATAAAGACCATGAATAAACGACAGCTCATCGTGTTAACTGAAAATATTTTTAAAGCTATAGTTACGACTTTAGATGATTGTAGAGATTTTAATGGTGCATCAACACCAGTTGCTAATGAAGTCAGCAAACGGCTATTTAAGGAAAGTCTCGGCAACCGAGAAATGCATTTAGTTAATGAAATGGTCAATTTAATTCTAGCTGCAAAACACACACCTGACTCTGTGATTGCAAGTCCACCGAGCAAAAAAGATGAAGAGAAAACAGTTGAAAATAAATCAGATTCAGTACCAAAGATAGTTGTTAGAAAACCAATAGAACTCCGCAGTAATGGGTCTGTATATAGTTTTGCAACTCCTACTGGACCAGGAGCCAGACCCGGATCAGGAGTACCATGCAGAGTTTTGGAAAAAGTAGATGGTGATAAACGCCGAATATATCGAATTATCCCCAAGACTAATATAGTCAATAATGCACCAGTTACAGGCAATACTCTTTCTGTCGTAAGTAGCCCAACAAACTCTTCCAATCCCATGACTTTGCATGCTTCAAATACAACTGTTACTACTACTGCAAATATTACTGCACCTACTTTTACTACTTCTTCTATCACTTCACCTTATTCATCTATTACGATTCTTGGTACCTCATCTATGGGTACTGCTACGACTGCTACTGCTTCTGTGGCGTCTTCTTCAAATTCAGTACCCACCAATCAATCTGGACAACAAACTGCAAATATACGTACTGTTAATTGGGCAGCACCAAGTTCTGTGGTTACAACTTCTAGTGCAGCATCGAATTTAGTCACTCGGAATGTAATTAGTCGGGCTCAAGTTAGTGCTGTTCCAGCAGTTAAATTTGCTAATCGCCGCTTTTCTATTTGTGACCCCAGCGTATTAAATAGAACCTCCACTGCGGGTATAAGCGGCACGTTGTCACCGTTTATAACAGCTTTACCAAAAAACAATGCAACTCAACGTATAATAGCAGCACAATCAATACAACTTGCAAATGGACAGCGCGTACGCCCAATTACTTTATATGATAATCAGAATGGCGTTTTCATTTCCACAGCTCCAACTGCTACGACATTTTCACCAATGAAGACTAATACACCAACTACAGTGTCCACAGTAAACGCTGTGCCTAGCTTGACACCAATACAAAAAACGACAGTACCAATTGTTATGGCACCATTGAGAATAAGTCCTAATGTTGCAGTTAAAAATGTTTCTACCGCAAATAATGCTAGAGCAATAAATAATTTGAGTGCTAGCCTCTTAAGACAAAATGCACCAATAACTGCTCCAAAAGTTGTTCAAAAACCAGTTCAGAAACCAACTAAAGTAATCAGAAAAAGGGCGAGCAAACCACAACCACCACCCGACAACAGTGATTCTCAAGACGAAACTGCTGGCATTATAGCAACGGATGAGTTGGGGCCATGGATTAAGAATGAACCACTTGATGAATTAAATTTCTAATTCAGTTTTAATAATATTGTTTATTTTTATTGATTTAATATTTAAAATACTTAAGCAGATATAATAATATATCATCATACATATTATGTATTCACAAAACTGTTATTTTTTTGATGTTTCAATAAATTGTTTAATGAAATGGTGTTTTTTGTTTGTTGAATGACTGCAAAGGTAAGAATTTTTAATTGATAAAAACATTTAAACTAAAATATTAAAAACAAAGCCAAAGGGTTATAACAAAGGGTTATACTAAGGTTAATACTGAGGAAATTTTATTAAATATAATTTCCCTTATGTTCCCTTATATTTTTTAAGATTTTTTTTATTTAAACAAAGAACTGAACTTAGCGAAAAAAAAGTCGAGCTATTCACAACAATACTTGAAAATATAATATGAAGACTTTTAGAAAGGGTAAATCGTGGATACTTTTCTGAGCGTTAACATCCTCAAACTTATACTAATCAGTATAAAGTATGAAGTTATCATGAATAAGTTATACTCAGGATCTCGCGTAGAGAGCTTGGTTGCTTTAAATTTATTTTTTTTTTTTTAATTTTAATCAATTAGTCGTTACGGAAATATTTTTTTTTAAATTTTTGAAGCTCTAATTGTTTACAACAATATATTTAGGGTAGCACTTTAGGGCATTCCAGGGTTGGAATGGCTGTTGATTATACTGGCGGTTCATTGTACGTTTTAGGTGGCCAAACTATAACCGCATCTCTGGCAACAATAAATTAATTAAGTTTAATTACAGATTAAATTAAATAACAAGTTTCAGAAGATTTGTGAGTCCAAATATATTTTCTCGAATGATATTATATTTTGTAATACTCTGTTACCAATTTAAACGATATTATTATTAAATATAGTGAATATTGTATAATATAAAATATGGGTGTATGGGTATATGGGTGGTTGGTAGAATATATTGCAAAGTTGATAGCAAGATGGATTATTATCATGACGTATGCACTTATGAAAAGAATTTGTGAGTCCTTATTAAAATATCGGTTTCAGTAATCGTGTAGATTCAGATGAACGAGTGATTAGCCCATGCATCCTATACTGGTACTGGGGCTGCCAGTTAAGGCCACCAGTCAGACCTTCAGACTCGAGAGTCTGAGAAAACGGTGGGCTTCTTAGCGAAGATTGAAGATGCTGTATCTTGCCTACATCCCGGGACGTCACGGAGGAAAAAGACCATCCGGGTCGCAAACCGTTGTGGATTGCTCTTAGATTCAGATGCTCGTCTTTGACCTTACCGGCAAGGGAGGCCCTACCAGTAGCTACGCTACCGCCGGCATCGCTCTCAGGATCATTGCACCCTACTAAGCCCCCTCGCCACGACAAGGCCACAATCCCCCGGCACTCTGTTCCACCTAGGAATAAAAGGATTAAATAAATAAATATTAAAATATCATGAAAATTTGACACTATTGGCAGGTGTCTGTGCTTGATACATTGCCTTGATCTCATGTCAATGTGTCTATAGATATGGTGTTATATCCATCACGGTAGTCGAACCGCTCAGGTCTTTGATATCTAATAGGTGAGAACATTTATCGCTATTTAACTTTGTAAGTAATACATACTAACGCCGAAAAAACAACGCATCAGTTTAGAGTGTAATAGATCACATTAGATTCTGTCGAAACAGTCTTTCCGGAGCGGTCTCTCGAGATTAAGGAAGTAGCCAGAAGTTACACGGTGTAAAATCAAGTCAATTGTGTATGAGTTGAGTTTTTGTCGAGAAACCAATGCAGTGTCAGATGATTATCTCTATTATAATGTTTACACTATTAACGTGGTGCATAAACCAAGCCTGCTTAAAATTTTGCTATCTTTTTGCGAATACCTTAACATAAAAAAATGGCATGGCATAAAAAAACTTTTGAAATAAGGTGAATTAATTAAAATGGAATATTCACAGTATCTATGAGGTCTTTATTTATCAAACGATTATGGAGCACCAAATCGTTGATTTCCTTGATGTGATAAAAAGTGCTCCTTTGTTTAAATAAATTCATCATTTTATATTGATGGTTGTTCAGCAGCGATTTAACAGATATGTGTGTTTAATATCGTATATATCAGGGTTGTCCAAACCACATGGGACGCGATCACATCTGGTTTCGACAGTCCTGATATATATCATATTATACAAATTATATTTAGGGCGTGTGCGAGTTAGGCTAAGTTGCGTTCTAAATGAGGGAAATTCTAAGTTGTGCCGATAATGTAGTTATATCTCGATACGTGTTGATAAATGGCTAAATGTGTGCAGTGCAAAAAACCCCAAAAAATTTTTCATTTGGTTTAGCATCAACTTAGCCTAACTTGCACACGTCCTTAATATTATATATATATAGTAGGGGTATTCAGGCAACTGATTAGTTGATTACAACAAAAATTTGCACACAAAAATGAAACTAAGCAGAGAATCAACTATTTCGGTGATTCTCAGATTAGTACAAATTTGATTAATAGTGCTACCAGTGCCAAGTGTCGTAATAATAACTTAAAATGAACTTTTGTATAGAAATTTGTTAGCTGTCTCTCAGCTGTTTGAATTGTGTGTAAACAATTTTGCAAACACAAGTATGTTTCACTTTTGCTGTTGATGCGAGTGCTGCCAAGGCATTTACACACAACAAACTAATCAGATTACGCATTTTGAGTCGTTCAAGCAACTGATTAACATCGAAATGCTAAATTTTTTTTATATGAAGTTTTTGAATCAACTAAGCAACTAATCAGTTGCCTGAATACCCCTAATATTTGTCAAAATCTTATAGTTGATTCTTCTAAATTTTCAGCCATATTCTTCATTAATTCCTTTTGGGTAAAAAATATTTTATATAGGCAGTTATGTTTAATAGAAGATCTCTATCAACTATAGATATTCTTAAATGTGTTTGAATCGTTATTAATTTATATTGCTTAATACACATAATTTGTTAATTAAAATTACTAGTTATAATAATTAGTTATAAATAAATTTTAATAGAGCTAATAAGTGTTTCCAGACCAAGTTTCATTTACATTTAAAATTCTAAAGCGACATTTTGATTATATATTTTATAATATCTAATCAATTTAAAAAGGCTTTGAAATGAATATTGAAACTATTCAATTAATAATGATTTAATTTATTAAAATTAACTAACATTTTTAATATAAATAAAAATTGAGTTTCAATCACTTAGTCTTTGGGTTAAACCCACCGATTTCGCCTCTAAAATAATTAAGTTGTCATTTAAAGTAACAAGTGCCTATGCCGTTGAGCATTGAGCAAGAATGTCTGCCTGTACTGAGTTTCCCGAGTTGTCAACGAAGTGCAATGGAATGAAAAACGAGTTCGGAATTAGCATATATCACACGAAATGACTTAACTGACTTCTGACAGCATTTGAGCGTGTCTGCTGATTTCGAAAACAAAAAAAAAAATACACGAAATGTCAAAAGTTACTTTGAATGCTTTTGCTGGCAACGTCAGGCAAATCTTAAAAATTTTCATAAAATGTTGCATAAATTTTTCACGAATTTTTTTGTTTCTTTTTTTTTAATTTTTTTTTTTGTGTATTCAAATTTTTTTGAGTTTTTCGTTTCGTTGCCATTGCATTCAGCGATCGCAGGTCTAACGAAATGCACATCCGTAATTGCGTATGTGCATTTCGACTGCGCCATTGTGCAATTGCAATTGCACCGACGTCGGTAATGTAACCTTTCGCGCATGCGCAATTTAATTCACAGAATTGGCCAAATGGCATTATTCAAGAGTTTGAGTTGTGTAACCTTTTAGCTTCTTCCAGCTGAATTTTCTTCTTTTTGACAGGTAACATCTGCCTTTTTCGGTGGCTTGTTGGTTTGCTGGTGCATTGTTGATTGTAAATTATTTTTTAAAATTTTTTATTTTCGCAAAAAATTATTTATAATATTGCTATTTCTTCTGACTCTAATGTTGCTGCTGTCACTGTTCGTCGTATTTAGCTCTATTGTTCGGAAACAATTTTATAAAATCCTCTAAAGGTTGCGAAGACGATTTAGTGTTCGGTCATTATTGTAAACACAAAAATATGCAAATTATTTTATATTGAACTTTAAAAGTAACAAAAAATAGCAATTTCCAACTCTTAGCAGCATATACCATATAATTATAGATCAACAATAAGTTCCCGAATTATAGTTTTAAGAAATCTAAATCAATATCAAATTATAGAGAGTTATCCATTTTGGGTTCCTGATTTGGTAGCACTTCTTAAGTTACATTTGTTAAACGGAATTCTCATACAAAGCAGCATATATTTAGATTATGGTTTGTAATTTGACAATAGACCTTTTCGATGGCCCGCACGTATGGCAAAAAATGCATGCTGGCCTATATTGGCCACGCGAGACATTGGCATCACTGTTGCAATCTGTCAAGTATTATGTTTTGACAATTAGCAAAAATAGCATAATGCAAGCAAATTACATTTTGTATAAAAATAAATAATTAACATAGATTGAAAATTAAAATGAATACAAAATTAAGAGGAATGTGACAAATGTTGAAAATTTCAAAATAAAACACATTGTTTAATATATATACGGCAGACATCCCCACCTTAAGCCAAGTGTCAATGGCGCTTTATGCAGATGACATGTGCTTGATCTACTTTGACCGGGATGCCATAAATGTAAGTAACATCTTACAGAGAAATATAGACTTCATGGTGGAATACTTCCAGAACTGAAAGATTAAAATTAACAATGACAAAATCAAGGCAATATTTATAACACGAAAGAGAAGGCAGCATCCTCCAGAAGTGAGCGTCGGTGGCACGGAGATACGGTGGGAGAAAAGCCTAAAATATCTACGGGTCACTTTTGACAAACGGAATAGTTGTTGTTCTAAAATTCTACATCTCCTTAAGCCGCTGTTTAATAATAATCGCTTCAACCTCAAAAATAGAAAGTTATTATTTACTCTAATAATTAGGCCAGCACTACTGTACGGATGTGTAACTCACAGCAAAGCCACAAATACTGCTATAAAGCAATTACAGAT